TGAACCATGAGCGTCTTGAAACGTTGGGCGATTCATTCTTGAAATTTTGTGTTACAAACAGGTTATATGTCATGTTTCCCGATAAACACGAAGGTCAATTACATTGTCAACGTATTCGAATCATTTGTAACAAACAACTTTATCGTGGAGCAAAAAAATTGCATCTTTACGAATATATTACATTATCGCCATTTAATCGTAGAAAATGGAGACCTGCAAACACGATAACTAGCGTTGATGATCCTAATATGCTTGAACAAAAAAAAAAACTTCATGAATTAGCGGACAAAACTCTTGCTGATGTAGTTGAAGCAATGTTGGGGCTGCTTACATGAGCGGACATGTCGATTTGGCCCTAAAATGTTCTATAGCCTTGGAAATTCAAATGGACGATATCAAAGAATGGAATGATTTCCATCTTAATAATAAAAATAAACCTCGTGTCAATGTCAAAGCACTTAGACAAGTAGATGTTGTTAGAGTTGAAAAATATGCGGACATACTTTCAAGAACAAAATTTTGATTGTTGAGGCATTAACTCATGCGAGTCTTCCAAATTCTACAACACCTTGTTATCAACGTCTCAAATTCCTAGGTGATGCAGTATTGGATTTTATGACGGTAAAATATCTATTTGAGAAATATCCTGATGGAGCACCAGGATTGTTAACCGATCTAAAAGACGCGTCTGTGAACAATCAGGTTCTTGGTGCAATTTGTGAACGAATAAATCTTCATAAGCATATAATTCATTTTTCTAATAAATTAATGGGAGGAATAACGGAATTTGTCAAAACTGTGGATGAAATGAGAGAAAGAAATGAGGCAGTTGGTAAATATTGGAGTGATTTAGATGGTTCTAAAGTGATGAGTGATGTTGTAGAGAGTATGATAGGAGCCATTTTCGTTGACTCAGAATTTGATCGTGACTCACTAGAGAAAGTGTTTGATAAATGGATTAAACCTATTTTAACTGAACATGTCACACCAGAAACTTTAAAGGTTCATCCGGTGAAGTTGTTAATCGAATATATGCAGAAAGGTAGATGTTCTATGATATTATTAAGGTATGTCATGTTATTCGTATTACCACTAAACTATAATTATTAATATTAAAGAAATCATACATCGGAAGAAACGGATATTCAGCGATGTACTATATTCATTCATGATTTACCAGTCGCACACGCAAGCTCAAGTAATATTAGATCAGCAAGAAAGTTGGCGGTTCAGATAGTCCTGGATAAAATTGAAGTTGATCCTAAATATCTTGAAAAAATTGTACATGTAATACCCTTACAAAATCTGATTCGTTATTCAATGAAGAAGAGTTATTGGATTGAATAATTTAGCTAGAGCAATGTTTTTAATGTAATTCCTCCTGTAAAATAACTTTTTTTTTTTGTTAATGAAATAAAATATGCATTAATCACGTCGCTATAATATGTATTCTAATCGATAATTTAAAAAATCGGCTAAGTCGATTTCACGACTTAATCGGTTAATTTTTTCAAAATCGATTGGTCGATTTTGAGTTGGATAAAAATAAAAACGATCAACTATCTAGTTCTATTTAAAAATATGTGGGTGTGGGTGATTAAAATGTAGAAACCAAGTAATTTGGCATAAACTTTCATAACTATTTCTTGACGAATTTTAAGTTATTAATTATTTAAAAGTGAGAAGAAATAAAGTTTTTTTTTTATTTTTAATAATAATAATACATTTTTTTAAACTCGTAAAATAGAAATAATTAGTTTTATCAAACATACCGAAAAATTAATTTCATTAATTTTTTTTTTCATTATAACTTGATTCAATCAATTATATATTATTATTACTAATTTAATACTTTAAATTTTTATTAATACTTTAAATTTTTATTAATACTTTAAATTTTTATTTAAACAAATTTAAATTTGTCAAATTACATAAAAATTATCATAAAAAATAATTGAAATCAATCAATTAATTAAAAAATTATTTACCTCATTACGATATAAAATTTTTATCTTCATTAAATTCGTGTATCCGATCCGGAAAAGCGTAAATTACATTGATGCTTGTTATCGTTCGTAGGACTTCCGATCCAGTTTTGTCATCATTATCGGATCCAATTTATTCGCGTAGATTTTTAAGATCTATAATAAAACTATAATAAGAGAATCCATCCGTGAGTAAAAGATATTCGTCATCATAGGAAAGAAAGCCAACTCCTCCTCGAGAGTCTAGCAGACCCTACTCAAAAAATCTCATAGGGGTTAAATTACACACCTCGTATTTATTTTTTTTAAAGACGAGGTGGAATTTACCGTTAGCGCTCCCTATGACTCGTTAACATTTTTACACAAGCTTTTACCGTAAATTAGCGTATAAAAGACCCGGGTCAATTAGTAAAAAAAAAAGAAATTAATTAGTAAAATAAGAGAGGGGCCTGATATCTGTGAGGTCTTTTATACGGCAATTTACGGTAGTTAGAAAAGAAGAACACGCTTCTAGTTCTTTTCTAACTAACTTACATACCTAAAAGCAATATGAAAAATATTCTACGAACCTTTTCCTTAATATCCTCAGATGTTTCTTCTCTATCTAAAGGTTTTAGTTTATCATAATAAACGTATATAGAGTATTAGGAAAGTTGAATTTTATTAGTTTTTATAACACGTGGTTGTTTATTCTATTTATTCGTACTAGGTGTAACGTGCAAATCAATTTCGTGTAACGAAAATAAAGATTTTTTTTTTAAAAAAAGTTCATATCTCAAAAATTCGCTTATGTAATCATCTTTGGTGTTCTAACAAAAAAAAATTCCTTGCTAAATTTTGCATATACTATTACCTAGATAAAATCCTAGGCCTCGCCCTAACCCTAAAGTAAATGAAATAGTATTTTAATTTTCTTATTCTATAATTACGTCATAAACAACCAATCAAAATTTAGTATTTGTTTGCAAATGTCAAAATAATTGACGTAATAAAAAGTTTAATAAATTTTTGAATTCGAATATAATGAGTCATTGAATTCGAACATAATAAATTATTTTTAAACTTGTTTTTTAACATGACTGAAGAATCGGAATTTATATTTAAATGCATCATCGTAAGCTGACACATTCAGAGGAAAATACGTCAATAGATACAGAACAGCAAGATCAACCTATTAATCGTAAGCGTAAAAATGATAACCAGTAGTAATATTTGTTCTCGTAGCGTATCTTGTTATTGTACAAAGTCTTAGAGTTTTTATAATTAGAAGGAATCAATTGATATTACTAATCTGTCATTTTGCTCTGTGTCAATTGCAAATTAATATAACGACAAACAGTAATAAACTATAATTGTCTTAGGAATATGAATTATAATACAGAAGATTTAATAAATCGAATGTTTGAAATGAACGATAAAATTGTATATAGCGATAGCAATGATAATGCATTGCCATAGTATTATAATACAATATAATTAGTTACCTACTCTGTTTCATATAGTTTATAATGCAATTATTTATTGTATTTTGTACGAAATTGCAAAAACAATTATTTTAATAT